TCTAGCCCCTCTCACTGACTGAAGCCTCCCACCACATTGCATACCTTGAAGACATGCGGCTGCTTCACCTTGAAGATCCACATGCCATCGAAAACGTTCGCCCCACGAGGGGGACATGCGTCGATGTAAGTACCTGTGGACCTTCAAGATGCCATGGTTGCTATCCACTGAGAGGCCCAGGGACCCAAGACGGCCTCAGCCTGGGTGCGAGGGGGTCTGGATGTCTAGAGCGTCTGGGTCACAATGAAGGGCTAGCAGCATGGCACAGAGATGAGGAGCAGTGGCCCCAAAGAAAGCCAACTCTAACTGCATGTCCTTAGGACGTCATTGCCAAGGGCAGGAGCACCCCTGACGGATCGAGGACAACCACGAGCAGAGACCAACCGAGTGGCGTATTCAAGGCGGCCGCTGGAGGCAAGTCGGCAATATCAGTGACAAAAGTTGAGACAGTCTGAGAAGGAGCATCAGGGTTTGTAATAATAGAGGAAATGACACAAGAGACGGTAGGGGAAGTGGCACGGAGGAAGTCCGAAAACGGAGAATGGGAGACAATAATGGACGACTGAGGCAACAGAAAAACAGAGGGAGGCGGAACCCAAGCGAGACAAGAATGGAGGAGCATAAGTGGATATTGGAAACGAAAGACGTGGGGAGAGCACCAGAGGGATGACGAAGCCAGGGGGACGAGGCAAGAGATGGGTCAAGAAGTAGAGGAGGAGTCTGATGTGAACGTGGAGGAAGACGAGCCAGAGACGAGCCGCTAATATGCCTGCGTACAACTCAGCCTCGCAGGTGGAAAGACAGACAGAGGATGAACGAGTGGAGCGCCAGCTGATGAGGCCACTGCCAAGAGTAAAACCATAACCCTGAGAGGAGCGGCGATCAGGGCGAGAATCAGCGTAGGAGGAATCACAGTAACCGGAAAGAACGGGGGGAGAAGAGCCACCAAGAATGAGTGCGAGATCAGAGGTAGCGCGGAGAAAGCGGAGAACGCGCTTGGCAGCCGCCCAGTGCACGTCAGTGTGGCGACCAAGGCCAACAAAACGAGAGAGGACACTGAGGGGGTAAGCAAGATCGGGGCGAGTGCACATCATAGCATACATGAGTGACCCAACGAGCTCAGGACAGGGTCGCAGTTCTGAGGAGGGAGCGGGAACGGCAGGGGCAGTAAGCTGATGGTTAGCGGGAAGAGGAGTGGAAACCAGCTTGGCCTGCGACATTTCAAAGCGCTCAAGAATGGAGTGGATGTAGAAGGATTGAGAGAGAGAGAGAGATGGTGCCGGAAGCACGATTACGACGGATCTCCATGCCGAGGTAATGACGAAGCTCGCCAAGATCCTTGCACAGGAGACGCGCCTGGAGGGCCTGCTTGACAGCGGCAAGGTCGGCAGAATTTTCAGCGAGGAGCACCAAGTCATCGACGTAGGCAAGAATGTAAAGCCTGTGGGGGGGAGGTGCGAATGAAGAGACTGGGGTCGGAAGAAGAGTGGAGGCGAGCTTAGCATGCCACTCGTGCGGGGCCTATTTAAGACCATACACTGAGCGTTTCAGCTCCCAGACAGTGCCTGGAGGGAACGGGCGAGGAAAGCCAGCGGGGCGCTCAATGAAAATGCGTTCATGAAGCTCGCCCTGGAGAAAGGCATTGGAGACATCCATAGAGTGAATCTCCCAATCTCAGCAGGCGCCTAGATCAAGAAGGAGGCGAAGAGTGGGGAGACGGGCAGTGGGGGAGTAAGTGGGCAAAGTAATCAATGCCTTCACGTTGGGTGAAGCCTTTGGCGCAGTAACGGGCTTTGAAGAAAGGGAGCTCCCCATGCAGCTGTTTGACACGAAAGACCCATTTGCCCTTGACAATGGTGGCACCGGGGGGGGGGGGGGGGGGGGCAGAGTCAACGTAAGATTGAGTTCTGGTGAATGCCTCACACTCGGCAATGATGGCAGCCATCCACTCAGTTGCATGAAAGACAAACACGGCCTTGGAATAGGTCTGAGGGGTGGGAATAGCGGCAGTGCCAACGGAGAGAAGAGTGGAAGAATTAGAGAAGTCGCCAATGGTGACACAGAGGAGGGGTGAAACGGGATGAACAGATAACAGCTCTTCAAATCGATCCTCGAGACGATCGACGTTTTGAGAGGGAGAGAGACGAGTAAAGAGAGAAGAGTGCTGAAAACTGGACATTGCACGGGTCATGGAGCGGGTGAGACGCGGAGAAGGTGGAGGAGCAGGAGCAGAAGGAAGAGTAGCACAAGGACGTGGTGAAGAAGAGGGCATGGGAGCAGAAGAGGAAGAGGTGGGAGGAGAGGTGCTGGAGATGACAGCAGAGGGGGGGTTGGAGGGGGCAGGGAGGGGAGGCGGAGCAGGGGGAGGAGGAAGTGGAGAAGGAGAGGGAGCAGCAGAGGGCAGCGGATCAAAGTCAGACCAATGAAGAGAGGGAGGAGGAGGGGTGGGAGGGGGGGTGAGGAATGGAGAACGAGTCTCATCAAAGATAACATCCTGGCTGCGAATGAGCTGCTGAGAGGAGGGAGCATAGAAAAGGTAGCCAGGTGACTCAGCATTGATGCCAATGAACGCACAGAGCTGCGTCTTGGGAGCGAGCTTCCCACCCTGACGTGCTCGATCGGCGGGATTGATAAGGACATGAGCGACACAGCCCCACACCCGAAGAGGGCGGGCGGAGGGCTGGCGGCCAGTCCAGAGCTGGAATGGTGTAATGGAAGGGCAAAGGGGATGGGGGCGAAGGTTGGAAAGAAGAGTGGCATGAACAAGAGCGTAGCTCCAAAGAGAGTGTGGAGCAGAGGCATGAGTAAGGAGACAGCGGGTGATCTCCATGAGAGTGCGAATACGACGCTCGGCAACACCATTCTGTTCGGGAGAATGCGGAAGGGTGGAGGATTGGCGAATGCCATGAGAGGAGCAGTAAGAAAGGAGAGAGTGGTTAAAGAACTTGCCACCACCATCAGAGTGGAAGCGTGCGACAGGACGGCCAAAGCGAAGGCGCGCCTGCTCAGCACAGCGAATGATGAGGGAGGGGGCGTCAGGTTTGGCATGAAGGGGATAGACAGTGGCAAAGCGAGAGTGGTCATCGACAAGAAGGAGAAAGTAACGATGACCTTGACGGGAGGCAATGGGATAGGGACCCTAGAGGTCCATATGCACAAGATCAAGGGGTTTGGGGGTGGTAGAAGGGGAAGAAGGATGAGGAGATTGAGAGAGCTTGGCTTGAACACAAGGGGTGCATAGAGGAGCGGGAGAGGGGGGAAGGGGCGGGAGAGAGGAAGGGAGATCATGAAGCAGCTTCGAAGTGACCATGCTGCGAAGGAGAGGGAAGTTGGGGTGGCCAAGGCGATGATGAAGAAGAAGGGTAGGTTGGGTGAGAGAGCGACAGTCGCAAGAGGAGACGGGAGGGGCAGAAGAAGAGGAAGTGTGATGGACAGATGAGGGGATGGGAACACGAAGGGTGTAGAGGCGAGTAGTAGGAGAAAGAGAGAAACGAGCAAGGTGCCGGTCGTGGTAATGAAGATCACAATAGAGTTCACCTGCGGGGAAGAGTGCTCGCACATCCAGGCGTTGGAGGGCAGAGAGGGATAGGAGGTTATGACGGCAAGAGGGAACATAAAGGCCAGTAATAGCGCCAGAGGGATAGGCAGGACAGGGAAGAGAGGAAGTGCCAGTGCAGATCATGGTCAAGGTCTCCCCAGCCCCATCAATAGAGAGGGGACGAGGAAAATTGCGAAGGACACCAGCATCACGAAAGACAGAGTCAGTAGCAGCACTGTCAAGGACAAAATCCAAGGTGCGAGGAAGTGAGAGAATGGCAGCCGTAGGGCTGGGAGAGTGAGAAGCAGTGCTTTGAAAGGGTGGAGAAAGTGGAACGACAAAGCGAGAGTCCATAAGAGGAGAAGCACCAAGGATGCTATCCTGAGATGGCATGGTCACACTGAAGACAGAGACTAGAGAACCAATACCAGAGGTTACAGCGGCAGAAGAGCGGCGATGCTGATGGGACAGCGGAATCCAGGCAGAGGGGTGGAGAAGAGGAGAGGTCCAGCGGCAAGTAGGAGAGGTGCAAAGGGAGGAAGGGACACCGAAGGGAGCGGAGAGTAGGGAAGGCAAGGGTAGGAGAGGAGGTACGGTGGAAGGAGGATGAGGGCGGAAGCGCAGAGGAGGAGAGGTAAGGGCGAGAATAGGCGCCATCAGGGGGAGAGGATATCAACGGAGCAGATGTGGGGAGACAAAAGAGGAGGAGGAAAAGGGGCAAGGTAGTCAGCTGCTGAGCCGTTGGTGGGAGACACATGAGGAGGAGGAATAGGGGTGAAGTAGTCAGCTGCTGAGCCATTGGGGGGAGAAACAAGAGGAGGAGGGATAACGGTGGAGTAGTCTGCTGCTGCGCCGCTGAGGGGAGAAACAAGAGGAGGAGGAATAACGGTGGAGTAGTCTGCTGTTGTGCCGCTGAGGGGAGAAACAAGAGGAGGAGGGATAACGGTGGAGTAGTCTGGTGCTGCGCCGTTGAGGGGAGAAACAAGAGGAGGAGGGATAACGGTGGAGTAGTCTGCTGCTGCGCCGCTGAGGGGAGAAACAAGAGGAGGAGGGATAACGGTGGAGTAGTCTGCTGCTGCGCCGCTGAGGGGAGAAACAAGAGGAGGAGGAATAACGGTGGAGTAGTCTGCTGCTGCGCCGCTGAGGGGAGAAACAAGAGGAGGAGGGATAACGGTGGAATAGTCTGCTGCTGCGCCGCTGAGGGGGAGAAACAAAAGGAGGAGGGACAACAGTAAAGTAGTCTGCTACTGCGCCGCTGAGGGAAGAAATAAGAGGAGGAGGAAAGGTTGTCGACAATACACAGACAGCTACCAGCTGCAGTAGATAGGGAGAGAAGGGAGGTGGAGGAAGAGGTGAGAAGGTGGGGGAAGTGGAGGGAGAGAGATAAGAGGAGGAGGAGGGTGAAGGAGCGGAATGTGAGGAGATAGGAGCACGATCACCAAGTGACAGGCAACGACAGCAGCTAGTTGCAGGAGAGGCAGAGAGAAAGGAGGTGGAGGAAGGGAGGAGGAGCACGAAGGGTAGGGAGGAGAGAAGAGAGGGGGAGGAGTGTAAGAGGCGGATGTGATGAGCGGAGAGGGAGGAGGTGGTGCGAAAGAGGCAGGAGAAGGGGGGGAAAGGAGGGGTTCGGCGCACCACGAAGGGAGGGGAAAATGCCCGCGAAAGGGGGGGAAGGGAGGGCGGCCGCGGAAAGGAGAGAATGGGCGGCGGGGAGAGTGATGGCGGCGGGCAGGTCGTGCGCGCGCGACGGCAGAGGCAGAGCGCTTGCGCGCGACGGGAGGGCAGGACGCACGACGAGGTAGGGCAGGGCGCGCGCGACGAGGGGAAGTGGCGTGCGACTAGGCGACGAGGCGCGCGACGGGGTGGGAGGCCGCGGGGGATGGATAAGGGGGTCTGCGAGTTGAAAATAAGGAAAAAGGAAAAAAAAAAAAAAAAAAAACAACAACAACAACAACAACAAAAACAAAAAACAAAACAAAGGTCGAGATGGTAGGAAACGAAAATCTACACTAAGTGGGAAGTGGCACCCCGGATGCCTAGAGTCTAAAGCGTCCTAAGAGATGTAGATAAGGAGAAAAAGCCAAGGATTAGGCTCTGGATACCATGTTAATATGAGAGTGGTAGCCATGGCTAGCAAGATAGGTTGAAGAGATAGACTAATAAGAATGTCGAGATACAAATGTAGGAAACCCTAATTGAACTTAGGGTGTGTTCAGTTTGTGCTAGAAACTAAGAAATGAACCTAAACTGAACCGAAAGTATAACTCGCTCTAAACATGGCGAAATAACAAAAGAACACCATGATAAATGTCAGAGCGACCTCTAGCCTACTCCAACAGTTTCTTCACGTTGCAGCAACGAAAGACTACGAGCTGCACACTCTGGACTTCTCGACAGCCTTTCTCCAGGGCAGTTTGCACGAGGAGATTTGGTTGCGCCGTCCTCCTGACTTCACTGGCACTTTCCCGCCTAGGACCCGATATAGCTGAGACGACCAGTCTACGGTCTCCGCCCGGCGCTCCGTGAGCGGCACGACTCTCTTCGCTCGACACTTGCTAACCTCGGTTTCAGTCCTTCGGCCGTCGACCCGTCGCTGTTCATTCGCTCTGGCTCCACTCCTTTCTCCATCCTCGTCTACGTCGACAACTTGGTCTTCGCTATAGCATGCAGGGTTGCTCTGGCTTTCGTAAAGTCTGAACTGCAGAAGAGACACACGTGCACTGACCTTGGTGAACTGCACTGCTACCTTGTCCTGCAGATCACCAGGGTCAGAGCCGCTCACACCATCATACTCACTCTATCACACATGGTGCAGCATGTCCTTCAGCGGTTCGGGCTTCAGTTCTCTACTACATAGCCCACTCCTCTTGCCGTTGACCACGGACTCACCGCAGCCCTTTGAGTATAGTGGTCCCTACGCAGAGCTTGTGGGCCGCCTCATGTACCTAATGACATGTACACGTCCGAACCTCAGTTTTCCTCTCAGCGTCCTGGCACGTTTTGTTGCGACTGGGAGATACAGTCCTGTTCACTGGGCTGCTGCTCTTAGGGTAGTGAAATACTTGGCGACTACATCAGGCATGGGGCTTGTTCTTGGAGGGGCATCGCCAGCTGTTTTGACCGGTCAACGCGACTCTTTCTACACCGACGACGTGGATACCTCCATGTCTACTCAGGGTCTCTGCGTCAGCTTGGACTCTGGAGCTTTGTCGTGGAGGTCTACTCGGTTGTTGTCTGACGCGTAGTCTAGCATTGAGGCCGAGATCTACGGAGGTGCCATGGTTGCGGAGGAGCTTCGTTGGTTGACCTTCTTGCTTACCGACCTTGGTGAGAGGTCTCGGTTTGCACCGACCTTGTTTGGTGACAACAAGGTCATGATCCTCCTGTGTTGAGAGCCTGGACTGGAGGGCAGGGTGAAGCATATCGACATGAGGTACTTTCCGTTGCGCCAGCTGCAGCGACGTGACCAGTCACGCTTGGAATTTGTGGCCTTAGCGGCCAACATTGCAGACACCTTCACCAAGGCCCTTCAGCCTGGTGACCATCACATGCTCTGCTTGCAGCTAGGCCTTGTTAAGGCAGGCCCTCGGCCGCTACAGTCTTGCCTCTTGTTTCTTGATTTGCTTATCTATGTATTTGTATATATACATATATGTGAACTCTTGAATGTTAGAATCAGCAGGCAGGAATGATTGCATTGAGCAGCAGGATGAGTACAAGAATGAAACCCTAAAGGGTTGTACTCACTAGAGTATGACCCACTACAGCCTAGAAGCATACAAATGTAATTTGACACACCCCCATAGGCAAAGTGGGGGATAGCAAACACAACGAACGGTCACAAGACCAGTCAAGCAAGAGAACAAGCAAAGCAAAGCTCAGGGTGGATCTCAAGATCAACACTCATTCTGAGCACAAGCAAGCGGCCACAAGGCCAGTTCACATGGAGAGTTATAATAGCAAGGCAGTACACTGATCACAACCTAGCAAGAGTAAACAAGCAGGGATAAAGATATATATCAATGTACAACAAGAGCAAGTCAAGCAACCAGCAGGTGAGGCAGAGTGGGCACAAGCCCAAGAGCAGTGCAGAAACGTTGATGATCACCTGACCCAAGGGCCTTGGTGAAGACATCAGCAGTGTTGGCCCGAGAGGCCACGTAAGCAAGGCGTAGCTGACCACACTGCTGCAGCTCACGCGCAAGAAAGTAGCGAAGAGCAATGTGCTTCGTTCTGTGCTCCAGTCTCTGCTCGCGACACAGGCAAGCATTGCCTTGTTTTTGACGTACAGAACTGGAGGAGAACGAGGCCGCTCCCCCAAGTCGGTCAGCAGGTAGGTCAGCTAGCGTAGCTCCTGTGCAGCCATGGCCCCAGCGTAGATCTCGGCCTCACAGCTGGAACCAAGCACAGAAGAAGAACGAGTGGACCTCCACGAGACAGAACCAGCGCCAAGACTGAAGGTGTAACCCTGTGACGAACGCTGAGTCGCCTGGACGTCGGCCCAAGAAGCGTCAGAGTGTCCAGTGAGTACCACTGAACTCCGTCCTCCAAGCACGAGCCCCATGCCCAATGTACTGCACAAGTAACGCAGTACCCTCTTCGCAGCATCAAAGTGCACCTTTCGGTGTCTACCGGGTGCCACGTAGCGAGCCAGGAGGCTGAGAGGGTACGCGAGGTCAGGTCGTGTGCACGTCATCAGGTACATGAGGCAACCCACAAGCTCTGGGTACGGACTACTCGGCTCTACGGACTCATCCGAAGGTGGAGCTGAGAACGAGTGGCCGGTAGACAGAGGAGTGGGCTATGGCGAGGACCACGTGAAGCCGAGGCACTGAAGGACCTGGTGCACCATGTGTGACTGAGTGAGGGTGATGGTGCGCCGTGCTCTGTCCCGGGTGATCTGCAAGCCAAGATAGCTCCGTAGCTCACCCAGGTCAGTGCAGGTGTGTCTCTCCTACAGCTCCGCCTTCACTAGGGCCAATGCCTCAGTGTCAGCAGTAGCAAAAACCAAGTCGTCGACGTACACGTGGATGTAGAACGCCGGCAGAGTAGTGTCGGTGCGTAGAAACAGCGACGGGTCAGCAGTCGAAGGAGCAAACCCAAGAGCCGCAAGTGTCGTCCTCAGTGTGTCGTGCCACTCGCGGGGCGCGTGACGCAGGCTGTACACTAGTCGCCGTAGGCTCCACTGGGTACCCTCAGGAAACGACCCAATGAAGCCCTCTGGACGGCGCAACCAGATAGCCTCGTGAAGGCTGCCCTGCAAGAATGCTGTCGAAAAGTCGAGGGAGTGCAGCTCGTAGTCACGCTGAGCTGCAACGTGTAGCAACACCCGAAGAGTGGTCATCTTTGGGGTGGGGGAGAAGGTCTGAAAGAAGTCGACCCCCGCACGCTGAATAAAACCTCGAGCAACGTAACGTGCCAAGAAGGCAGGCGGAGAACCCGGCGGCCGCTTCACCCTGAAAATCCACATGCCACTGACGATGTTCGCCCCAGATGGGGGAACCTCGTCGACGTAGGTGCCTGTGGACTTCCAGGAAGCCATCTCTGCGTCCATGGATGTCTGCCACTGAGAGGAGTACTCATCCGAAATCGCCTCTCTGTAAGAGCACGGGGTGGGGATGTCAAGTGCATCCGGGTCTCCCTCAGGGGCAAGCAACATGGTTGCGAGATGGGGTGCAGCGGCCGCAAGGCACTCCAGCTCCTCCTGCCTGTCCTCAAGGACGTCACAGCCAAGGGCTGTACAGCCAAGGGCAGTCTCACCCCCGACGGACGGAGGACAGGCAGGGACAAGGTCAGAAACAAGACTCGCAAGGAAGTCTAGGCGGTACACAGCAGCAAAGTCAACGAGCTCAGCGACTAAGGCAGACGCAGCAGGAGACGAGAATGAAGGGTCAGTCACAACCATAGCAAGAAAGCGAGTAACAGTCAGACTGGACGCACGAGCAAGGTCAGACGGAGGGTCAGCAACGTCAGGAAGAGAGGACGCAGGAGGTAACGGAAGGACAACACGCTGTGGAACAGAGGAAGGACGGAGTGTGATATCGTGAGTGCCTGGGACAGCCGGAGCACGCTGACGACGAACAAGAGGAACACGAGCACGGACAGCAGCTCTAGGCTCAAGCTCAAGGTCAAAGCTGGACTCAGGCTCTCGACGCTAAGGGGTGGAAGCACGAGTCTCAGGCTCTCGACGCTCAGTCCGGGACTGTATCACCGCAGTGTAGGGAGCAGGAGCAGGCAGTGGGGAGTGCGGTAGCAGCTGCGGCTGTGACTGGTCTGCCGGTGGAAACAGTAACGGAGGAGTAGTACCTGCCACAGGGAAGTCAGTAGCACCTGGCGGAAGACTGAGAATGTGGCGAAGAGCACCAGCAGCTCCCGTACCTCCAGCACGAGCAGCTCCACCAGCACTCCCAGCAGCACCTCCAGCACCAGTAGCACCAGCACCTCCAGCACCTCCAGCACCTCCAGCACCAGCAGCACCACGAGCTCCGGCAGCACCAGCACCTCTAGCACCAGCAGTACCTCCAGCACCTCCAGTGCCAGCAGCTCCAGCACCTCTTGTACGAGCACCTCCAGGACCAGCAGCTCCAGCACCTCCAGTACCTCCAGCTCCAGCGCCTCCAGCACCAGCAGTACCTCCAGCACCAGCAGCACCACCTGCTCCGGCAGCTCCAGTACCTCCAGTACGAGCACCTCCAGGACCAGCAGCTCCCGCAGCTCCGGCACCAGTAGCACCAGCACCTCCAGTGCCAGCAGCTCCAGTACCCCCAGCACCTCTAGTACCAGCAGTACCTCCAGCAACAGCAGCTCCAATACCTCCAGTACTAGCAGCTCCAGTACCTCCAGCACCAGCAGCAGCTCTAGTACCTCCAACACCAGCAGCACCTCCAGTACCTCCAGGCCTAACAGCTCCAGTACCTCCAGCACCAGTAGCACCTCTAGAACCTCCAGCAGTACCTCCAGGCCTAGTAGCTCCAGTACCTCCAGCACCAGCAGCACCTCTAGTACCTCCAGCTCCAGGACCTCCAACAGGGTCACCCACAACTCCACCGCCACTAGGACTCGCAGCACCCCAAGAGTCAGCACCCCCAGTCGCAGCACCCCCAGAACCAGCACCCCCAGTCGCAGCACCCCAAGAACCAGCACCCCCAGGCACAGCACCCCCAGAACCCTCACCCTCTGTCTCAGCACCCCCAGTCTCAGCACCTGTAGTCTCAGCTCTAGAGTCCACAGCAGCAGGCTGCGGAGGCGGCGAAGACGGTCGAGGCGGAAAACCAGGGG